TTAAGCTTGCGTTCCTGCTGCATCTTCTCATAGGAGTATCTACTACCTTCGTTTGCCTTGCTAGCCGTCTCGTCAACGAGCATCGAGTTTGATACTCGCGTTGTAGACTAAATCGGCAGAAACGCTAAGACTTTGTGCCCGTCACGCGTTTTGCTCCCGCATCGGTCTTGCGTTGAATTGACTTCTGCAGTGTCACTAAACATAGTAAGCTTCGCCCTTTGAGCCATGTCGGCCCTTGCGTCTCTTTATAACCAACCATCCGATCGCGGTATAAAAGTTTCCCCGCGGAGTTCACAGGTACAATCCTTGTCCATACTCCAACCATGATACAACCAACCCAAGATGGCGAGCGATATGAGCTCACAAGCCCAACCGAGATGCCCAAAGCTGGTGCGTTCCTGTGGAATCAACGTATGATGATTCAGGTCACATGTCGTGGCTTTGCAACTGCGCAGTACATGCAACCCGAGCCTGCCAAATACGCCTATGCACCCAATCTCGAAGCCAAGACCTTTATGCAGCCGGAGCAAAACTACTATGCTCATCACCCCGGCCGATTCGTATACATCAAGGATGAAGAGAATGGCGACATCTTCTCAGCGCCGTACGAACCGGTAAGGGCAAAACTGGATCGTTTTACCTTCGATATAGGCAAGAGCGACATCAAATGGACTGTGGAGAAGCTCGGCATCCGCGTTGAGATGACATTTCTGCTCCCAACAGACGATGTGGCTGAGCTTTGGAACATCAAAGTCACTAACATATCCGATCGCAAGCGGAATCTAAGTGTCTACCCATACTTTCCCCTAGGCTACATGTCATGGATGAACCAAGAAGCGGAGTGGAATGCCAACGTTGGTGGCGTGGTTGGAAGCTGTAAGACGCCATACCAAAAAGCAGAAGACTATCCAAAGACAAAGTACCTCAAAGACAAGACCTACTTTCTCTGCGAAACCACACCAGTCTCATGGGAAGCAAAGCAAGAGGCTTTCGAGGGGGAAGGTGGATTACAAGCGCCATCGGCATTACAAAATTCGCAACTTTCGAATAGCGATGCCCGTTACGAGACTCCGACTGCAGTTGTGCAATACTGGGCCGACCTGAAAGAGAACGAGAGCAAAGAGTATAGATTTCTCTTCGGTCCCGCATACGATGAAGCCGAAATCCTGGACATGCGCAAGAGATATCTCAACAAGATGGCGTTCGCGAAAGCAGCCAGGGATTACGAGGACTACATTATGAGAGGCAGCGGTTGCGTGCGTCTCGAGACTCCTGACAAAGATCTCGATAATATGGTCAACAACTGGCTACCACGGCAATTGTACTACCATGGCGACGTGAACAGACTTACAACCGATCCCCAGACACGAAACTACCTACAAGACAACATGGGTATGAGTTTCATCAAGCCAGAAGTGGCCAGGAAGGCTATCACGACTGCTGTAGGTCAACAAGAGAAGAACGGTTCGATGCCAGATGGTATCCTGCTAGCGAAGGGTGCGGTACTCAAGTACATCAACCAGATCCCTCACACTGACCACTGTGTCTGGCTGCCTATCGCCCTTGAAATCTACCTTGCCGAAACTGGCGACTACGCACTACTAGACGAGAAGGTGACCAGCATGTATGGCGATACATTCACTGTTTTCGAGCGCTTCAGCCGCGCAATGGACTGGCTTCTCTCGTCCAATGCACGAGATGATCGCGGCCTCTCGTACATTGCGCAGGGTGACTGGTGCGATCCCATGAACATGGTCGGTCCCAAAGGTGTCGGCGTATCAGGCTGGCTCACAGTTGCAACAGCCTACGCCGTCAACTTGTGGGCGCAGATCTGCGACGACGCCAACAAACCGGATATCGCAAAGAAATACCGCACGGGCGCCGAACAGGTCAACGAATCGGCGAACGAGCACCTCTGGGACGGCGACTGGTACGCCCGTGGTATCACCGATGACAACGTTACTTTCGGCATCAAAGACGACAAGGAAGGTCGCATTTGGCTGAACCCGCAAGCCTGGTCTATTCTTGGGGGCGCGGCTTCTTCGGAGCAGATTGCAAAAATGCTTCCCCAGGTTGACGAGCAACTCACAACACCCTACGGAGTAGTCATGTTCGGTCCGCCGTTTACAGCAATGCGCGAAGATGTCGGCCGCGTCACGCAAAAGTACCCTGGTCAGGGTGAGAACGGGTCAGTGTACAACCACGCGGCTGCCTTCTACGCGTGGGCGCTCTACGGTATCGATGAAGTCGATCGCGCGTACAACACTCTCCGCGCTATGATTCCTGGTCCTGATGAGGAAGATCTGATTCGTCGTGGTCAGCTCCCAATCTTCATTCCCAACTACTATCGTGGTGGTCATGGAATTGAGCATTTGGACCGTACAGCGGGACGTTCAAGTCAACTGTTCAACACTGGAACTGTGAGTTGGGCGTACAGATGTTTCATCGAAGGGTTATGCGGTTTGAGGGGCGTAAGGGAAGGTCTGAAGATCGCGCCAAAGATGCCGAGTGCATGGGACGGCATGAAGGTGAGGAGAGAGTTCAGAGGCGCGGTTTTTGATGTGCAGATCAAGCGAGGAGATGTGAAAGATGCGAAGGTCGTGGTTGACGGGCAGGGAGTGGAGGGCGATGTCATCAAGAATGTCAGCGCTGGAAAGACGTACAAGGTGCTTGTGGAGGTACCGAGGGCAAAGAAGACGGGTACGAACGGAATGATGTCCAATGGTACGAAGACGAACGGGGTCGGTGCTAATGGGACAAAGTAGACGGAATATGAATGATCTCGCGAATTTGTAAATCCAATGTCTCATCATGCTGCCATCATTTACAACTAGAAGAATCAGCCGCAAGGCGAGCGTGACCGTCTGCACGCGGCGTTTGTAATTGGCAAACCCACTCACATCAGCCACGCGCAAAGAACATAGTCATGCTATTACTCCACGCGCACGTTGCAACTTCCTCTACACCAATGCCCTTGATGCCAGCTACAACCAAAGCCACCTTCTCCATATTGCAACTCTCATTCCTCTCTTTCACCATGTCACCCCTAGTAAACTTGTCCTTCTTCTTGTTCCCCCAAGGCCACTTGGACGCATTCTTCAGATACACTTTAGCGACTTCGCTAGACGCTTGAATATCGCCCCACGGTGCGTCTGTCTCGATCTGCAGATTGGGTAGTGGTAAATGTCTGATCATTTCCAAGCTGTCGCGGTCTCGGAAGGCAAAGTTGTTGACGCTAACCTGTAAGCCCATCGCGACCAGTTTCTGCATCTGCTCTTTAGTTCCGACAAAGGAGTGAACTAAGCCAGATCGTAAAGGCAGCCGGTCCATATATGGTTCAAGTATGGAGATGAAATCATCGAACGCGGCGCGACAGTGAAGAAACAGAGGCAGCTCCCACCCTGCGTTCACGATCATATCGAGCTGTCGCTTGAACACGCGTATCTGGACGTCTTTGGGCGCTTCGCCCAATTTGTCGTAGTCTAAGCCGAGCTCCCCGAAAGCGGCCAGCAAATGCGAGTCTTCTTTGTCGTTGAGGGTCGTTGTGATACTGTGGGACAGGTCCTGATAGTATTCCTCGCCACCTTCATCTGCTTCAACGGCATGGTACGGATGCACGCCCATAGTGACCTTGACTTGCTCTGGACGATGCCGGGCCATTGCAAGATTGAGTTGCGCATCGGAAGCGTACATGCCTGTAAGCATGACTTTCTCTACCCCTGCGGCCAATGCGCGATCTAGCACTGCGTCGAAGTCGGCCTCATGGTATTGTTTGCCCCGATATACACCAGAAAACTCTTTGGCAGTTCCTGTTACAGCAACCTGAGCACTCCCAAAATTGTTCTCAGCCAAGTCGCGTCATCATGGGGAGGGGTATGCGCGTACATCTGCGTATCGGAGCTTTATGGATGGTGCAGAGGGGGCGTCTTTGGAAAAGCCCTCTAACAATAACGGTTGTGACATTGTGGTTTGAGATGAAGGGATATGACACGTTGAATGCTGAGATGATGTATTTCTTGAGGTGAATCGCCATCGGAAAGGAGACTTCCGATCTCGGAATCTAAAAGTGGATCATCTCTCTCGGCCTCACCTTGCGGCTTATACAAGAGCAGTTCGTTATGAAAAATAGCTACATGTCTTCCTCTAGAGCCGAGATACATCTCTACTATATTAACCAAAGGTGTTCGGAAGTTGCTCGTGTGGAGTTGATCTTATAGTAAAAGATGGTAAGACTCGGCCTATTCTAGTCTAACTTAATCCAGAGTAAAAAAGACTACTAAACGCTGTTGTAGCTTGAAAGCGATTTGTCTTAAGTCTGATATAGCAAGCATTCCATAACCGCAGAGTATTTTGTATGTAGTATGATATACAGGCATATTATTTGACAGACGAGAATTGGTGTAAGTGCTGCGACTGTGCATAGCCTATTGTGGCACTTCTCTCGGCCTCTGTATGCGAGTGATTACTAACCCAGCGAGGCTGTGTCGCTGAAAGAAGCGGCGTGGTTCACGGACGATTACAAAATTACGGGAGGGAACAAGAGAGAGATGAAGGTGGTGAATGTGGAATGGGACATTCAGCAGGGAGACCACGTGGGACAGCCAGGGACTTGGTTCAAGGTGTGCAATAAGTGAAGCTGTGATCTGTTTGCCTAAGTCAAGTCCACGAAAGCATATGATGCATGAAAGAAGAGAGGTCATGGTCATAGGGTGAACGTGTGATACGCTTGGTGAATGGAAAGGATAATAGTAAAGTTGATGTCACGCTCCAGATGGTGCGGCGGATATAGGTACCTCTATACGAGTAAGAGGCTTATTAGACTCCGACGCGAATTCACAAGGGCCGGTCATTGCACTTGATCTCGGGTGCGGGGTACCGCCAGCGTTTGTCTCCTTCTGCTGCTGTGCCGCATATGCATCTCCCCTCTTGTATGTCCGATCGAGCACCAAGGTTCATCACCCCTCACTATCGTTAGTCAGGACTGCGCCAACGTGATTTCGATGAATACACAACAGGTCCATACTGTTTCGAGAACCGCTATAGGCAAGGCGCAAGCAGACCTGAAGGAGATGCCAACTGAGCCTCTTCTTCCGCCACAGATCAGCGGGTCCTACAAAGTAAATGAGCGAGTCATCGCAGGTATATCAGCCAAAGCGGTTCTTGATTGAAGACTGACCTTGATCCAGCATTCCCCATTCCCAAGACTCAAGTAATAGACGCCTACAACTGCGGTAAATCGCTCTGGGGTAAAGCGGCCAAGATTGTTGTCCAGCTTCCCACCGGACAGACCGACAACTACTTCCTCAAGGTCTGACCCCTCGCCGAGGAGCTATTGGGGAACGAATACTGATTCGACGAAGGTTGTATCTCTAGGAAGCATAGGAAGGCACATGTGCGAAGGTGAATACGAATCGCTCAAATCCATCTATGCAGTCTCCCCTTCATTCGTTCCACACCCATATGGTTGGGGCCAGATCGACGAAGGTTTAGCAGAGACGTACTTTCTGCTTGCGGCTTTCCGAGATGTGGGAGAACAGGTATGTGCAATTTAGCTCTCTTGGAGTGACCGAAAGCTGATGTTCGAAGCCTGCAGACCCAGTCAATTTAGCTGCGGGTCTGGCAGACATGCATCAACGATCCATCTCGCCAACCGGCAAATTCGGCTTTCACTTCTCCACGTGCCATGCGCGTATCGCTCAGGCTGTCGATACCTGGGAAGATTCGTGGTGCACTCTGTATGGTCGGCACCTCGGCCATGTCATGGAGCTTGCTAAGCCAATTCTCCAATGGCCAGAGTTCGATGTAGTCTGCGATCTCACACTCCAGAAAGTGGTACCACGTCTCCTGTTGCCTCTCCAAGCAGAAGGCCGAATCCTAAAACCATGCCTTCTCCACGGTGACTGTTGGGACGGAAACACAGCAATCGAAGCGAAGACAGGCGAGGCTTTCGTGTTCGACGTTTGCTCCTTCTACGGACACAATGAGTACGACATTGGCGATTGGAGGGCACCGCGCCACCGCCTGAGCAGTGAAGCATATATACGGAACTACAAGCAAAACTTCCCAGTATCTGAGCCTGTGGAAGACTGGGACGCCAGAAATTTGCTGTACTCGTTAACGTTCAACATTGGTAACACTATCTATATCCCAGGTTCACAGCAGCGCCAAATCGTGTTTGACGATATGCATATGCTGTGCCACCTCTTCTGCCCAGACGAGCTGAAAGCTGCAATGGACAAACTCAAAGGAGACTCTACTATCAGTGAGAGCTCGCAAACAGGCCATCCAACGATGCATCAGAATGACGGTTTTGTGGAGGCCGAGGCGCAGGGAAATGAAGAAGAGGAAGAGTGGCTGCTCTAGATGGAGCTATGCACGCCCCAATATTCGGGTTACTTAAGCAAGTAGATAGATGACTGGAACCAGCATATGAAAGATGCCTATTTGATGCTGCTGTCGTGTGATTGATGAAAGCGATTGCGATAAATGAAGGCGCAATGAAGCTTCGGTGTGCGCGTCGCGTGTCGCGCGACGACGCTACCAGCTTTTAGCGCTGATTGAGCACGCCCCGCCTTTTCTTGGAGTTTTGCCATTCCGCCACGCTTGATCCGACACCATATGGCCAAAAGCCGCGACGGTCAACCTGAGCTATCATGGTGGACCTTGTAGGTCGCTATCGCGTTCTCATGGGAGCCATCAGTGGCATTGATTCTATTGGCCTGCCTTGCTTGATCAGGTAGATATGACCAATCGACAGCTACCACAGAGTGGGGCGAATGAAAACTTCCACGGCACCACGGTATGCTAACCAGCTAGGAGAAGATCACGACTGAGTCACGGATTTCTTCGTTATGACACTTCGAGCAAGCAGCAAATACTTCAAGTATAGAACGCTGCATACATAACAGTCAAATTGAGATTGCTATCATCAACACCAACACCAACAACAACTGGCCTGCTGGCCCAATGGCAAGGCGCTTGACTACGATTCGTCGATATCAAGAGATTGCAGGTTCGATCCCTGCGTAGGTCAGATGAAAGGCAAACATCATTTTTTTTTTCGTCTCATCGATAGCACGAGTGGGGAGAGTATCATCAGACATAGGCCAAGTTTGGCCGAGTCACATGCTGAGACCGCTTAGTACATCAATGTGTTCATGGAATTAATCTATTGAATACGAGTAGAGCTTTTTTTTGCCTTGGGAGACTTCGGGAAAGTATTTGGCACTTTCCAACATGTAGATGTTACCGTCGCTCACTACATATGGTCATCATACGCTTATGAGTCGCCGTCTTTCGCTTATTGCGCAACTCTAATGCCATACGCAGCATACGGAAAGTTTTGAAGACTAGACCTCAGCTCCGCCATTCCATCCTCCGATACCATTCGTCCGTCTTCAGTCACCACAGGACTCTTAGCAACTCCCTCCACGGGCTCCCCATACCTCGGCACATTGCCATCCTCCTCCGTCCTACCCATAAGCACATCCATCTCCCTCCCTTTACAAACCTCCGCCAGCCCAAGGTGAGGCACCCAAACGACCCGCATACCTGCCTTCCTTGCTGCCTCAACCCCAGCAATTGAATCTTCAAACACTAAACACTCACTGGGCTCCAAAGTCCGCTCTCCGCGGGCTGTCTCAGCATCGTTTAGTCTCTTTAGAGCAAGGAGGAAGATATCGGGTTCTGGTTTCTTCTTACTATCCGACATTTCCGGGTCGTCACCAAAGACGTGGAAGGCTGGGTCATCGAATACTTTGTTAATGACTGGTATGTGCGACGTCTTCAGTGCAAACTTTTGGTGGCCGGCGGAGCTAGCTAGTGAGAGGAGCACGGGAGGCGACGTTCTTGTTTTGAGGGTAGTAAGAAGTGTCTCGACACCTGAGAGCAGCTTGCTATTCTTGAAAAGCTGTGTACTCTCTTTCTCCTTTGCTGACCATTGCGCGGGTGTGAGGGGTACTTGAGCCCAGTCTAGCAGGCGCTTTGTACCCTTTACGAAGAATGAGCGGGATGGAAGATGGCTTGAGGCTGAGCAATACGAACCCTTGTGCCTCTACTTTGCTGTGTAGCTTTGATCTTCCAAGGGTAGTCTGGTCTTCCATACTCGCGAAGGATATTGTTGTAGATGTCCGTATAGATGTCCTCGGAGTTGATGAGAGTGCCGTCTACATCGAAGATGCATGCGCGAACTGACGGCAGTGAGGCCATGGAGACTGTTCCGGCAACGTACCAAACTCTGACAGGGCGTGATCAGGGGGCCTTGTGTTCTGGCTCTGGGGCTTCAGCTTTGTGTGTGTGTTCTACTTCGAGTGTATGGCTCGGGGTTAACTCCGTCTACCCCGCGGGAACTAAACCACATGAGGATTAGCTTGTCCATGCCCAGCATATGAAGCATCTTGGAAGCAGTCACTACGACCGACGTTCACTCTTACCATACAGCAGCTGAGTTTCAGCTCTGGGCAGTAGAATAGAGGCGTCTCTTCTCATGTATCGATTTACTCTCCTCGCCGATTACCATTGGCAAACCTAATGCATTGGGACCCATACCTCCCACCCCTCAATACACCATCTTGTAAATTTTATGTGCAGGAACTACGATCGGATGCGTCCAGATTCTTGTCGAGAGATAAGCCATCACGGGTTTACTTCCTCGACAGCCTGCAAAGCAATGTTCATCACGAGACATCATCTCCTTTCGGCTACCTCCAGTATCGCTGCACCATCCTGCTAGTCCACTCATACACCACAAACCCGCTCTTTAACCAATATTGGGCTTGCAACATCGAGAAACTACCGAGTGCATAATATCGTATGCATCGCTTCCCCTGTATCCAACTGCCGGTCAATCATCCTCATACCGAACGTTCCTGAATACGGGATGCCAATACATTCAAGTGGGTGTCTGACATGCATAGCAACTCCCTCTACCAGCCTAGTTCTACAATATTGAGACTTATCCTACTCCACAGTATATCGTGGGCGCTGTGCGAATGACTCAGCTCGTTGTCACATGCCACTGCGAGGCTGACAACTTGACTTTAGGTACATGGTGGCTGCATGGTGAGGGTAGTCAAATTTCTCTTCACGAGAAATCTCCACTTATGCTGGGCTAGACTTCAGAAGACTTATACGTGTAAGCAACCTGGCTAGTGTCTGGCGGCAGCGTATCTTGTTCGCAGATGTTCCCCACACGGGTCGATCAGCCACTGGCGGTTGTGTGTGCGCCACGTTATTTTCACTCCATCCTTCAAATTTGGGGGCTGACCTGAGGCTGCTATGTGTGGTAGTGTGTTCTCACGCAGTTCAGACCGGATGATAAGCTGCTCAAACCGTGGTGTCGAGTTGGTGGTGAAGGCTTCGGACTACCTCCACAACGGGTTACCTCTATCGGGCAACCCATCGCCGTCTCGACAATCGCTAAGACGCCTGCTACTGACCGCGCCTGGGGTGACGATACGTACAACCACCTAATAGATGTAACAAAGCGATTTTGCGCAGCTGATGCAGCTAGGAGACGACTCAATACTGATACGGTATCGCAGAGCTGCGGCATAAGAGCGGCAAAGCCAACCTGGTGTCATGTACGTAGCTATTCTTAGCGCTAGATCATTCCCAGTTCGTATCGCAACATCGTGAACCCAGGATCTCGTCGTAGGGCTACGGAGGAGAGTCCGAATCGTCCCGCATGTTAGGCGCGCCATCGCACCAGTTACACGTTTGTCCAATGTCGGCAGTGTGTAACGAGCGAACGTGCTGCTAGACCCTGAGATCGCCAGATGACATCGCCCACGAGAGCGCCGGCCCATAGCGCTCGACTGCAGCGAAATCAATAGGAGAGTTTTCAGGGAGCTAACATGTATGCGCGGAAAATAGATTAAAGCTGGCGTATGTAGTCAGGACGCTGATTGGCTGTGATAAGACCCTTTACTTATCCGGTAATACCAAGCAGCGGGACACCTGCCTAAGCGAGTACTAACAAGATAGCGGTCCGTATGTTGTCCCTGTTTTTTCTTGCCTTGTCAGCCGCAATATGAGAAAAGTATACTATTGAAAAGATGCAGCTCGAGTGCTGATACGTGCAGGCAACGCCGCAGTCATGCAGGCCGGTTGTCACCAACGTACTTACCGAAGTTGGCATACTGTACGGCCGTGATGGGACATCGGTCTGATCAGGCGCGGCAGAGCATGGGCTGAGCGGTGGTCGAGGTGTAGAGATACAAGACGCTTATATACATCGTCTGCCTGGGATGCTATACGACATCCTGGGTGCTGTTAAACAGCCGGTGCGCCTTCTTGCACTCGGAACTTTGTCAATTGCATATACTTTCATCGTTCGTTTGACTTTCCCATTGCGCCACAGATGGCGCAACATAACGCCTCGCGGCAGCCATTTAGCCTACTGCTCCTGGTACTGTCCCTGGTATGGTACGCTAGCGGACAAAGTACCGCGACACCCGACCTACCCAGCAATACCACAACTCCTGAACCAAAGGTAGGATGGAACGCCGAAGGATGTTACACAGACAGCGTCGGCGGTCGAACGCTGTCCGTGGGGATGGGAGTGGCCGGTGCTATGACCAATGCGAAGTGCAGAGACGCATGTCGAGCAGGAGGCTATGTTCTGGCTGGTACTGAGTATGCTGGTGAATGTTTCTGTGACAATCAGATCAGAAACAATGGCGGCCCTGCACCTGACGGCGAAGTTGGGTGCAACATGGCATGCAATGGAGATCAAACTGAGATGTGCGGCGGTCCTGATCGCTTGACGTTCTTCCGATTCTACACAGGTGGCGAATCGACCGTTTCGGCAACTGCTTCACCTACTGCTTCGCAGACAGCATCTGCGACCAAGACATCCAGTGCAGTCCCTGTTGCAACGGGACTCCCGGAAGGGTTCGAGTACAAGGGCTGCTATGTTGATGGACCCGGCTTCCGCATCGTCAACTACCAACAACCCGATGATCAAAGTATGACCATTGCCTCATGCTCCAACGCATGCGCGAAAGCTGGCTACGAGATCGCCGCTATGGAGTACAGTTACCAATGCTTCTGTGATAATACCGTAAGTACAGTCAGGTCTGTCGATGTACCAACCACTGACTCCCGCAGGTGAGAATGGGCGGCAAGCCTGCTTCTTCCGAATCAGAGTGCAACACAAAATGTGCTGGCAACCAAGATGAGACTTGCGGAGGCCCCAACCGAATGAGCATCTACTCAAGCCAAGATCCGTTGAAGGTCATCAACGCTCCGGCTCCTATCCAGAATGTGAGCGATTGGCAATACCAAGGATGTATTACCGACACCAACAACCAAGTTTTTCCATGGAAGCTAGTGAACCAGACAGGCAACTCACCACAATGGTGTCTAAGCCAATGCCAAGCCTTCGGTTATCAGGCAGCTGGAATGGAGTATGGTGAAGAATGTTATTGCGGAGACCTTGATGGGATCGAGAAAAGTGGCTCAAAGACAGTCGCAGAGTCTGAATGCAACACTGCTTGTCCGGGCAACCCCGAAGCCCTGTGCGGCCAAGGCAACCGACTCAGCTGGTACAAATGGGAAGGCGATCCTCTATACTTATGGGAGTACCCCAAAGGCATTGCGGCTGGACGCTACGAGTTCTTGGTTGGCGGTCCTATCATCCCTCTAATTTCGCAGCCTGGTGTCAACGGCAAGGTTTCTCTCCTCGAGAAGCATGGAACAGGTGAGCCCAACACCACCGGTGCGTATGAGTTTGATCCTTCGATTGGTGGCGACATTTTCCATGCTTTCCGTGAGCTGAGCGGCATCAAGACGGATATCTTCTGCGCTGCAGGTCTGACTATGCCGGATCGTGCTGGTCGGCAAATTAATATTGGTGGATGGTCGACGGATTCGTTGTTTGGTGTCCGCATCTACTGGCCGGACGGTTCTGCCGGTGTCAACGGCACGAATGACTGGCAGGAGGATGTCAATAGCGTCAAGCTTCAGAGAGGCCGTTGGTATCCTACAGGAATGGTCATGGCAAACGGATCGATGTTGATCGTCGGCGGGCAAGATGGCTCCAATGGTCCGCCGGTGCCGAACATGGAGATTTTGCCTACCGTTGGGCCTGTGTACGAAGCGCAGTACCTAAGGGATACCGACCCGTACAACCTTTATCCCTTCCTAGTCGTACTGCCGTCGGGTGGTATCTTCATCCAGTACTACAACGAGGCTCGTATCCTCGACGAAGTTAGCCTAGACACAGTCAAGATCTTGCCAAAGGCACCAGCTGCCGTCAACGATCCTACCGGAGGGCGAACCTGCCCGTACGAGGGTACTCAAGTCCTTATGCCTCAGTACTACCCTTACGACGCTCCGCTGGAGGTGCTCATCTGTGGTGGCGCGGCAAGACAACCCAAGTGGGGTCTCGACAACTGCGTCAGTATTGAACCTGATGTCGCCAACCCCGAATGGACTCTTGAGCGCATGCCTTCTCGACGTGTCATCTCGTGCATGGCAACGCTACCAGATGGAACTTATCTGATCCTGAATGGCGCTGAAGTTGGCGAAGCAGGTTTCGGTCTTGCAGACCAGTCGAATCTCAACGCTGTTCTGTACGATTCCCGAAAGCCACGACATCAGCGTATGAGCATCATGGCTAACACGACGATTGCGCGCATGTATCACTCCGAAGCCGTCGTCATGGACGATGGGAGGATCCTTGTGTCAGGCTCCGATCCTCAAGATGAGGGCAAGCATCCCCAGGAGCACCGCATTGAGGTCTTCCTCCCACCCTATCTGCTTTCTGGTGCAGCGCAGCCTACCTTTGAGCTACCTCAAAACGACTGGATCTGGGAGGAAGACTACTCTTTCACGGTGACTTCGTCTTCCGGTGGTCCGATCAAAGTGTCGCTGCTCGGATCTGAGTCTAGTACTCATGGAAGCTCGATGGGTGCGCGTATCCTGTTCCCGAGCGTGTCTTGCTCAGGCGGAGCATGTACAGTCAAGGCGCCCAAGGGACCATACGTCGCCCCTGTAGGATGGTATAGAATGTTTGTTCTGGATGGGCCAACACCGTCGCATGCGAAGTGGGTTCGTCTGGGTGGAGATCCAGCTGCACTCGGTAACTGGCCTGACGCTGCTGCCTTCCAACCCTTGCCGGGTATGGGACCCGTAGGCGTATCGAGCAAATCGATCGCGAACGCAACCGTACCAAGATCGATGTCGACCGTTGCTCGCAGCTTCCAGGGCTGATCAGGATCTCGGGGAGCGTCGAGCAAGCTAATGTCTATTTGTTAATTTGTTAGCGAAGGTGGTAGTACTCACGTCAAGCGGGCCCTATAGTACTGCAATACAGCATGCATGGCATGAGAATTGGATCAATCTTGATGTTTCTAATGTACATGTGCGAACAGGTCTATGTCTGGTGCCACCGATGGTTAGCGCTGATGTAAAACCCAGTATAGTGAGCGTGCGCGCAACGTACTATTGGCAGTGACCTCTTTTGAGTTCAAGTTGTTCGAGTTAATGCCTCCTTCTGGGACCTAGCGACGGGAAGCCGGACGTCCTCCTACTGGCCGCAGTCTTGCCTGCCTGAGCCAATGAGCCCTCATGTCATCTCTTCGTCTTCTTCATCGCTGCTTGGGAAGCTCCATTCACTTGACTGGTAGTAGTCGTACTCTTCGTCAGACCCTGCTGTACTGAGCGCTCTTGCGCCATACGTTTGGGTGCTGAAGGCAGAGTAAGCAGACCTCCTCGGCGATGGCGACTTTGAACGACGTCGCTTAATAGTCTGGACGTAGCTTACAGTACTGAGATGGGTGCGTAAGCTGTCTCGAGCGGGAGACGGTGAGCGGTGGCGCTTCTTGGTAGTCGTGGGGCTCGGAGCTTTTGGTTGCGCATCGTCGCTTGTGGAATGAACCATGGTGCGCTCATCCACAGGTTCAGGGTCGCCTTGCGAAGTCGTCGGCCAAAGACGTCTCGGAAAATAATATCTTCTTCGAATGCGCTCCTGGGTTTCTTCCTCGATTTCTCGCGATTTGGCTTTCTTGGTTGGCTGTTGTGGCATATCCGCCGTCACTAAAGCCCACCGTTCGAGATGGTGAGTGGATCCAGAAACGCCAACTGGGGCTATCAGATCATCTTCCTTCTGTCGCTCTTCTTGCCACTTGTTCACCCGTGGAGCTTTCCGCAGACGCGAGCTGTCTTGATAGTGTTGCGACATAGCGATTCGTGGAGACGCAGAGGCAGGCGCAACCCTAGACTTGCAACAGGCGACTGATGATCTGATTTGGTAGCGAATGACGAATCAGAATTGGCCACCTAATGAAGTGATGTTGGGCGGCAGCGGCAGATGGCGCAGACAGCCGCGTGATGGCGGGAGTAGACGCGTCCGGCAGAGTCGCGTTAGACCCAGAGCCTGCGATGACGCGCAGAGTGCAGGCAATGAGTGTCAGGGAGGCGCGACCGAGCTCTTTGGCGGACCCGTTCCTCAAGAGATGATGTCTCGATGTACTAACAAACGCTCAACGCTCCTGCATGGAGTCGACATGTTCGCAGTTGATCGGCACCCCTTGCGGGTGGGTGGGGACAGAGGCGCGCATGCTTGGCGCCGTCGCGGTGACAATCTACTTTCTTTTCACTACAACTCTCAAAACTCCTTCATCGAGGCTCTTGTATCTCTGCATACCTTTACACAACAGTATTATCACATGTTAGCTTCGGCTCGCCAACATCCTGCAGCAGCCACTGACGACTTCGGCTAATCCTAGCCGGAGAGAGACGCGGCGATTACGCCCGGCAGCCCGCCCTGCACCAAACCCAACGCTCATGTCCGATGATTCGACATCCATAGACCGCTTACGACGACTTGGGCCAATTCCGACGGAGCGAGTTAATGCAAGCCATCTCCACGTGCCGTTCCTGCCAGATAGTCCATGAATAAGACGCGGCATATGAAAATGCGTGGGAAACTCCGCCCGTTGACCACCTCTCCTCACATGATTGGCCCAACTTCTGAAAAATGCGAACCTAACAACGCAGCACTGATCGTCTACGCTTGGGTTACCACTGAGCTGGATACTGCGCAATCCATCTAAAGCGCGCTGGGGGGTAGCCTAAGGCCGCCAGTTTGATCGTTACGTTTTGCCTCGTGCCTCTCTCTGTCGAGAGGAAGAAAAAAAAGAGAACATGTCAGCATCGAACAGTTCTCCACGCACTAACGGGAGCGCCCTTGATTATTCCACCGCTGAAGAGGCTAGCAGCTCCGGTCCGTCGCTTCAAATCGACGTGCGTTCCCTGTCCCATCGCTTGGCTGTGTTAGCCTGCCCGACTGACAGCTGGCATTTAGAGTGAGGACACCGAGGGGCAAAGCGATCAAAGCGACGAACGCGACTCTGAATTTGGTGATTCTGCTTACGGTGACAATCGATCTTCCTACACCATGTCCGCAACCTCGTCAGTGTTCAACTTTCGCTATGAGAATGGCAGGCGGTACCACGCCTACGCCGAGGGCCAGTACCCGGTACCTAATGATGAGGTGTGCAGCTTACCGACTTAAGTAGCAATGAGTTGCTGACACCAGCCCAGGTGGAAGCAGATCGACTGGACCTACAACACCACGCCTTCAGACTGACACTAGATGGGAAACTCTACCGAGCACCTATACCAAAAGACGTGCAGAATGTGCTTGACATAGGGTGCGGAACTGGTATCTGGTCTATTGAATTCGCTGATGAGCATCCATCCGCGCGTGTTCTCGGCACTGATCTAAGTCCCATCCAGCCCGCTCAAGTACCACCTAACTGTGAATTCCTCATCGATGACTGCGAGGCGGACTGGATCTTCCGCGATCCGTTCGACTTCATCCATGCCCGAGCCATGGTAGCAGCCATCAAGAATTGGGACCGCTTCTTCGAACAAGCCTACGTCAACCTCAAGCCAGGAGGATACCTTGAGTGCCAAGACCTTGCCTTCCCCATACGATGCTTGGACTCTGGCGTCACTGCGGAAAATTCCCCGCTGATCCGCTGGTCAGAGCTCTTTCTCCAGGCTGCTAAAGTCATCGGTCTCGACGGAACGGGACCGAGACACTTCACGCCACAACTACGGAATGCAGGCTTCAAGAATATCAACCTCAAGTCGTACAAATGGCCCGTTGGTAAGTGGGCAAAGGGCGCGAGATTCAAGGCTCTCGGTCGCTTCGTTTATGAAGATCTAATGGATTGGCTTCCGAGTAGTTCGCTGGGCCTGTTCACGCGCGTACTGAAGTGGTCGAGAGAGGAAGTAGAAGTCTTTCTATCGGAGTGCAGAGCGGAGGCTAAGAGAAAAGACCGACACTACTACGCTGATGTGTAAGTTGTTGTCATCGCGAATGATTGGCTCTGCTGATTCAACAGTTTCTTCTATCATGCTCGTAAGCCAGAAGGTGCGAACTTTTCAAGCCAGGAACAAGACTTCGTATCATGGGAGGAACCAATAGATCGTGATGAGGATGATGACGCCCATCACGCTAGACCATCAACTACAGCCTCTGCTTCCTCGGTGCCGTTGTCTTCGGCGACCACAGCGGAGCAGAAGTCAGAACAGTCGACACCACCTACTTCGACCACTCAAGACAAGCAGCCGTCAGTCAAACAAGGTGATGATGGAACATAGATGTGTTGAAGTCATGGAATGTATATAGGAAGAAATAGAACAGCGCAAACGAATACGCAACAGCTATTATCGCTGCGCAAACTAACAGCGGACGTACAGAACTAGAAGCCGACAAGAAGACTTTGCACAATCCGTTGATCGAGATAAGCACAACAATCCTTCCATCGTAGTTCTACACAGCCCTATTCGTCCAGCAAGCACATACACACACACACACACACCCAACTTCTCTCATGCAGGTAATTCTTCCTTCATATCGGCTCACGAAACAGCCACTCCCTTTTCATGACTTTCCGGCAGACGTCACTACCCTCTAGTTCTGAGACAATCCTTAAAACTAGCCTCTTCCTCCGCCAGCCTTCTATTCCGATTCCACTCCCTCTGCATCTCGCTTCCAGACCCCCACCTCCTCTCAGACCAAGCTCTCAGGAACCCGATACCTCCCAGCACTTGTTTAACATATGGTTCGGAACCATCTAGCCTTCTCGCTCTCCAGCAGCCTTGGTCCTTGTCCCATAGCATTAATTCGCGCCATGCGTCCGGTACGCCTTTGTACTCGCTAAACTCGCAGTTGAGATGGGGGAAGAGGCGGCGCCACATTGTGCGGGGGCCTACATAGTTTGGCCACCGTGATTTCGGCCAAGGTACGGATGCAGAAGCGCGCTCAGGCGCGGGTGCTCGTCCAAGTGCTGGTTCAGCCTTAGTTTTCCCTTTGCCTTTGGTTCCAGTAGTAGCGAGAGCGGGAGCGGGGACCGAGCGGGTGACGAGAGTTGCCGAACGAGTATGATTGGAATATTGTTTAGCATACGGGTTCTCTGCTGGTGGCTGTCTACTGCTTGGACCAGCAGCAGGAGGGATACGACTGCTTCGTTTCGATGCAGCACCAAGACCCGAACTCAATGTCGTCCCCACACGGCGGCTACTTTCCCCAACTTCCTGCTCAGTCTCGACCCGACGTCGGCGCCTGGGTCTGCTGTCTTGCGCCTCTTGTTCGCTCGGTTCAGCTTCGGCGACGGCAAGAATACTTTCCGAGCGCAACCGCTTTGAACTCTTCTTGGGCTTCGCTGCTACTTCTTTCGCTCGATCGAGCTCACTCTCTGCAACAACCTCGTTCCAGATCCGTTTTGGGAAATGGATTTTGAGAGCGGAGGACTTATCCTTCGCGATAGGATGAGGAGGAGGAGTTGGATCTCTATAGTCCAACTCTTCACCATCTTCCGTTTCTTCTCCGTCTTCTTTTGCAGCCAGAGCAAGAAGCAAAGGCTGGAGATTCCTGTCAAAGTAGTCGTCCATGGTTGGAACCGTAGGCGTTGTGGCCAACGGCTGGTAATGGCTGCCAGCGGTGATAGTAGAGTTGGATGACATATTTGCTGGGAGTTTGAATAGGAAATCTTAGTTATGATGTTTACCCGGGTGACTGAAGTTTGTTGGTGATAGTTCGGAGGGAAATCTGAGATCTTGATGAGTTGAGCTTGGACGAGTGTATACAATATGTTGCTTAAAGTGGAAAAAATAAGAGGGAGCGGTGGACTTGGTTATATACTTTCTGGGTTGATTCGCACTTGAGCGCGACCATAGAAATTTCTGAGGTTGAAATCGCAAACATGGTTCCCAGCAACAGCGCTCCCATGCGTGAAACTTTTCCGACGACGCTGGTTGGACAACCACATGAACTTCCCTATCCTAGATGCGAAGATAATACCATAACCAGAGGACTACGTGGGCTTTACGGCACTGCCGTCGCCAAACGTCAGTAGCTCCTGGGTGGCACATACCCTTACTGGCTGACCATCGACAGAACGATGACTGATATGCACGTGACAGCGATCTCATCCGTGGACCCTCAACAGGCCCACCTACAGCCAATGATAAGTCCTATGTCTTGTACCTTGGTACAACAAGCGAGATCAGCGATAACAAGAAAGGACAGCGAACCAACTATAAAGAGTAAATTCTACGTACTATGAGCATGCTGAAAATGATGATGTGTTGATAGCACCGAGAGACTTTTACCAGAATGATTACACATTACCGCATGCGGCAACACACGAGCAGCTCATGGAGCCGCGACGCCCTCCCCAGCCCTTCCACTATCCATGCTGCTGAACGATAGAATCCTTTCATGTTCGGTAGCTTCCTGCTCTTTGAATTTGGATATCAGATCCATTGTGCTCCGCCTAACACTGACCAAGCTGCGTTCCTCGGAAGCGCTGTCATTATGATCTTGGTAGACCAAGCTCTTTGCGAGACTTGCGTTGCTTTTCTGACTTTCCTTACGTTCGTGTTTCGGTATGCGAATGGGCATAGCTCGTGAGTGTATGGATACGCGCCTGCTGTCGAATGAGAATCGTTTTGAGTAACTAAAGTCCTCAAGCAATCGGTTGGTATCCATACTTAAACGTGGGTAAGCATCGATACAGTTCTCATAATAGGCCGACCAGACGTGTGCACGATCGCTTGCATGCCCCACTCCGGCAGCGCCATCGCGGAATGACATTTCGTTGAGATTGGGAGCTGAAGAGTTGCGACGCGGACGGAGGGTCGCCATGGAGTCATCTGCCCGCAATTTGCCCTTGGGTTTAGTGGCTCTCATTGAAGAATCATTATTCAGCGACTGTTCCTCATGTTTCAGAGTCTGCGCGTCTGCATGACCTTTGTGCACCTCGCCCGTCCACACATGGGGCAGCAGCTCGAGCTCAGGGTGCTCTAGGATGCCACCTGACGCGATGGAGCTGCGATGTCCTCGACCATGCCTCTGGAATTCTGTACTCTGGCTTCTGAACATCTTGGCATAGTTCTTCATGAGAGTTTTGCCAAAGGTCATGGAGTTGCTCTTTGCTATACGACCACTGCCAACCTTCTTCTGCTTCTTCTTCTCACCTGGCAGCAGCGGAGTGGACGGTCTTCGTTCTGTTGGATCAATCAAGTCTTCGTCATCTGTTGCCGAGGCAAACTTGATTGCTGCCTCAAGTGCAAAGTCGCGAGGTTGAACGTTGTCGGCCTTGCCTGCGGAAGCGGTGCGGTCATGGCGCGTGTGCGATGGGTATCGGCCCCAAGCCCCCACAATGTCGGTCCTGTCGCCCTGTCGCTCAAACACGGTGGCCACCTCTTGTCCAACGCTAACGTCATCGCGCCCTACCAAAGCACTACGCCGAGAGACTAGAGTGTAAAGTCCCTCAGATGGCTCTTCACTAGGTGTTTGAAGAGTTGGGCAAAGTGTCGATACCCGCGTGCTGGAGCCGTCGTCAGCTCGACTGGCTGGATCTAGACCTTCGATGCTAGCTCTTCTAACAGAAACGCTCCCACTGCGTTCGCGGAAAGGACTCGCGTGAACGGCAAGGTCTTTATTCTGTGGAAGGAAGAGTGATGCTTTCTCTTCTTGATAAGCTTGCAAAGCGCGATCCCACACATGATTAGCACCTTTGTTCCTTCCCATCGCATCTTGTTCAGTCTGAAAGCTTGTCAATGACCGAGAATGACCACGTTCACGATCGGCAGGGATTGCTAGCATATCAGATGGATCATCCATAGCGGCCACTGAACCTTCGGGATGGAGGTTTGCCTCACTCTGGCTCCGCCCACTAAGGCGCTTTGGATTCAAGAATTTTATGATGGATACCGATTGTGATGTCTTCTTCTTCGGCGGAGATGGACTGAACTCTTCCCGAAATTTAGAGGTTTTAGTATCAGCAACACTGTTCTTGCGTGCTAAAGGGACGGGTACGGCAAGTAGGGAGGATTCAATCGAATGGCCGACCACCGTTGTAAGCCCAGACAGTCCATGCCGTTTAGCTGGCTTCGGCGTTTCCTCGTTATCTGTTGGAAAGGAAGCAGAGCGTCGAGGCCGGCGTAGATCAGACGATGAGATACTGAAGACTTGGTTCTCAGTGCCAGTATGCGACAGAGTTACCATCGAACCACCAAAGCTGTCAGGTGGGCTCTGTGGTCGACTCGAGTATATGGATGACGCAACATCAGGACGCGCATCGACATCTTGCGGCAAGACATTGCCCCACTTGCTCGGGATCTTTGTACTTGCAAAGCCAGAGCTAGATGTCTGTCGGTGATGGCGAGCAAGTTGTCGGTTTCGTACAGAGACTCGGCTTTGGTCTGAGACAGTACGTTCACGATACATAGGAGGCGGGACTGGGAGGTCTGGCGCATCGGCAAGTTGATCCCAGGAAAGAAGAGAGCCTGAGCGTAAATGGTGCGAGATGCGCATGCTATAAAGATGGACAGAGCGACGCGGGTCATTATCCCCATCGTCTTCCCCTTCAGCTCCCCTGCCTTTCCTGGAAGGCGAGTCTTCACGAGAACAACCTCTAACAGATGTAGAGGGCCTAGGGCTTGCGATAGACGTGGGCTGCTGAACACGGATCTCCACTATACGAGCAGCAGGTCTTGCAAGTGACATGTTCGTCCGGGGCGACGATGCTGAGGCGTCACTATTTTGATTTTGGTGATGGCCATGAGCATCTTTTTGAATGTCGTTCTTGTTCAACATGGTTGGAGATGCTTCAGTATTGATATGCTGTGGAGGTATAGGAAACTGCGAAAGACGGAGACTCTTATGCATCACCTCAGACCACGGCATACCAAACGAGTCGTGGTTGGTAAGACTCGGTAGCCGCAACGGCGAGATTGGGGAAGGCTTCGGTAAACCCATGGACGTAGCCGAATGTGACCGCCTCACTTTGCGATTCCGTTCACCAGATGTACTCGACCGTAGATCGGGCGTACTGAACACCTGAGTGAAACCGTTTGAGAAGGAAGCGGCTTGGGGTTTATCAACACTGTAAGGGTAGAGGTCGCGCTTGAGCTCGGCACTAATGCGGCCCTTTGTAGAGGACTCAGGCGTGCTTTTGCTGCAATCAGTCAGCATGGTGTGAGAATGACAATCGAGTCTACTTGCCTTCCTGTGGTAGTTGTCCAATCGACACTGCGGATGCTTGGCCTCTTGCTTAGCGGTTTCTTGCCGATGTTCTTTGCGATGTCGTCCAGGACTTCAGCGTCTGAATCATAACCACCCTCATCGGGCTTCTTGTCACTTAGTAAGTCCTTGCGTAGGTCATGCTTGGTGATTCGAAGCTGCTGGTTTGGGTCTTTCAGCTGCTTCACCACGGTGTCGGGAATCGACGTGATACTCTTCTGCTTTGGCTGGGTGTGCGCTGATGACACACCTGAAGCCTTTTCCGGAAGCTCTTTCGAAAACTTCCGCCTGATAAGAGAGCGCATACTGGTCATCTTGTGTAGGCTTCGGATGCTATGCATTGATGGGCGACTGAATCGCGCACGAAGGGCCCGCATCGACATAGCTCGATCTTGGTCAGAGGCCTGCGCATTGTGGAAGATTTCTCGAAGCTCGTGGAGGTCTTCAGAACGAGCACTCGTAAAGCGTGAGCCGGGTGAGCCAGTACATTTGGGTAGAAGTGGGCGGTTCGCTGGTGTGAGTTGGCTGGGGCGGGCATTGGGCAGCTCAGGCGATTCCGAACGATGGTCTTGCTCCGCTGTACAGCACAGCTTGGTCGCCATGATGATGAGTTAGTGGAGGAGGGTCAGCTGGGTGGCTGTTCATCAAGTTTGCTGCTTTGTTGATGTTTGCGTGAGCCCACGCGGGGTGCTTGCCTGGGGCCGGAAGTGAGGAAGGAGAGGTGCAAAGTGGTTTGGGTAGTCGCGACTGCATGCACTTGTAGCCTCGTATGCTGAGAGAGGAGTGCATCATCAATGTATCACCAATTGCATGGCACGGAGAAGCTAAGAATTCAGCCCATCATCTTCTTGCCGCTGGCATCTTCGCTGTATAGACCTTGGTCCTTGATCCAAGCAGCCACGCCTTCAGTGCATAGCTCACCCACCGTATCCCATTTGCCTGCGTTTGCTGCCTTTCTCACCCTCGTCGAGCTTATACCCACGCCTTCCTCGGCTTGTACCATGTCAATGTTGTTGCCCCACGCAGCCTCAAAGCCAGCTTGCTCTTGATTACCATCCTTCAGGTTCTGCAGGTATCTTGTCTGCTCCTCAGTTGTACCAAACTCATTGGACGATTCATCGCTCGGGTCTGTTGGTCGCTGGGTCACGCGCAGCTTGTGGCCAGCGTCGAAGAAGGGCTTTAGTGCCGACAGCGGTGGGTCGTACTTGGGGTAGTACTTGGGGTTGCAGAAGCGGATCAAGGTGTCGTAGCCTACGAGGTGGATGTGAATGGGTTGCGACGCGTAGAATGGGGGTGTGGTCTCGGCTATCGCAGCCGACTTGTCACTGTAATACGGTTCTTTGGTCAGCCCGATGTCTATCGACACGTCGGAGACGTCATGCTTCAAAGAAGGCGACGCGCTCTTTAGGCTTCGCGACAGGTCCTCGGCAAACGCCGTCATAAGGGCGATGCGCTGCACGAAGCTCGCCGGGCTTGGTGCCTTGTCTGCATTGTGTATACTGAACAGCAGCAGCAGCCGATAAGGACTACTCTCCAGGGGCGCAGATTGCTTGAGAGCCGAAGTCGCGAGCGTGAGGTGGGCAATTGACGGCGGGTTGAAGGACGAGTCAAGGATGTAGAGCGTCTTCGGCTGCGTCGGCGTGTCGTTCACAGTCCGCACGACACGGAATTTGGCGGGAGACGAGGTGAAGGATTGCAGTGCAGACTCGAGGTCAGGCAGTATTCCTCTCAATGAAGCTATGCGCGATGCCATGTCAGCCATTGTGTCGCTTGTCGCGAAGCTCCAGCCAGGACCGCCTCGGGAGCTCAAAGTGCGGGAGCACTTCTCGCATTCGGCACGTCATTCTTCCTATCCCTGCCCTCTCACACTAGCACCAACCCCAACCTCAACTACGCAACGCCCACCCATCCCCAGCTGCGCCAGTGTGCGACGCCTCCCTCACATCTTATATCCGGATCATGGGAATGTTCAATGGTTTTGGTCGGAGAATATACAAACAAGGCAAAGACATAAAGGACAATCACAACGCAAGGCCTCCTGTACTGCCCCCCTGTCTATCAAGCCTTAATGCGCAGCTGGATTGTGTATTAATGGACCTGGACCGACAAACACCCAGACACTCAGATTCCAACATCAAATACACTCCCTAACATCCGGCACATGCTTCCCCAGCTCCTCCACAATTTCATTCCATACTTTCCTCGCAACCTTTTCATTCTCCTCTCCCACAATGCTCTGCGTGTCAGGCTCAATCACATCGCTCGCCCAGAACCTCCCATGTAACTCTTGATTCTGCGCCGCGCCACTAACATATACATTGGCACCCTGATCCGCTGTCCGAAACAGCAACGCATGCGCCACCGCCGTCACAATCTTGACCCCCGGAAACTGGATATGGCGTGAGATGTCCGAAACAACCATACCCGGACACACACACGTGATGATAACCTCGCTTGACGGTATCGCCTTCGCTAACTGGATAGCTGCATATCGTTGAAGAAGTTTAGAAGACGCATACTGTTTCATCGCGCCCTTGTACAACTCCGGCTTATTGAGTTCAGACAGAATGTTGCTAGGCTCTTGCGTTCGTAGCCCGACGGGTATCTCCACAGTCTTATGTGCGCCCGAGTTCACAAACTGCAGTATGGGTATCTTTCCTGTGTACGTCTTGCTCTTTTTCAACTTTGGCAGGAGAAGGATACCGAGCAACGTCGTAGACAACGTGTTGACCTGCAAGTCCTCTTCCCATCCATATCCCGAGGTTTCGTAGCTCGTATTGAACACCCCAGCATTCAGAATTGCAACATCCAAATGTTCCAGTTCTTTGTCGATCCGTTGAGTGAATTGGGTGATGCTGTCGTAAGAGTTCATGTCGAGTGTCCAGACCTCAAATTCACTTGCTTCGCCGACTTCTGCAAGAAGTCGCGTCTTGACCGCCTCGCCTTTGGTCTCATCTCGTGCTGTGATGATAATTTTTGAAGCTCCTAGTTTTGCAAACTTGACTGCTGCTGCGTAGCCTAATCCAGAGGTAGCGCCGGTAATCAGGATGGTGCGGCCTGTGAAGGATTCTGTGGACTCGGCGGGGAGAATACCCCATTTGTTTCTTACTATCTCCATGATCTGCGACATGGTGTTGGTTGTCAAGAACACAGCGTTATTACTCTTTTTGTTTAAAATGGCTGCAGTGTGTCGTGCACTGCGGAGAAGAGACGGTAACGGCGATCTGGTGTGTTTAAGTTGCACAGATTCCGACAAAGGGCCGAAGACGGGTAATTCATGAAACTTTGTTGTCAAGCGCTTTGGGACGATCCGGAGGCTAGCGGGTAGTCCATTACGCATATATACCAAGATCTTGTAATTCCGCGACCAGATACTCGTAAGGTTGTAAGGGGTCTAGATGCGCTATCAATCCGACTTCTGTATTCCTAATACGGACAAGCTAGGCTGAGAGTGAATATAGGCTATGGACTTTGTATGCGATTCGACACTATGCAAAAGTGTCAGGCGAGAGCATAATACTAGTACATAAGATATGGTCATTAAACATTAAACTCTGCGAAACGCGAGTCGATTACAAAACTTTTAATTTCCATACCATCCATCAAGACCACACATACCCGTAGGCAGAATATCGTCTTCGATGACGGAAGTGGTGAGCGGCGCCCAACAATCCACCTCGTCGGTCCAGCCTTGCAACGAGGTGTCTAGATAATCCTTGGGTGGGACAGGTGGTGGTGCGGATGTTCGAGGGGGTGAGGAAGACTTCACTATCTTGCTGTAGGCCAAGCGTACCAGTGCCGCTGCGTCTTGCTCCGGCGTGAAGTACTCGAGATAATCTTGGAGTTGAGGAATCGGGTTCCGTTCAGGATAGCCCTCGACGCGTCCAGTCGAGTGCTGGTTCCAAGCGCAATTCGTGAGGCCGGGTTGCGTAAGAAGCAGCCGCTCCCACTGGTGATATATGGCTGGCCGTTGAAGCAGAGAGTATATAACCTTGCTGTGATACCAATTCATGTTCGTTAGTCCTTCCTTCTCCATGTGGCGCGCGACATGATCGCATCTCTCTGTCCAATCGGTGCTAAAATGACAGCAGAAGCCACATCCCCAGCCAGTCCTGGTCATGCGCCTTCGTTTCGCAGAGATTGCGTGAGCCTTCTTGCTGCGTGTTGTGGTGTCGGCGCAAGAGGTGCATCGATGTTTTTCTTTATGGTGTTTCGTAAAGTCCTTTTCCAGGAAGTAGATAGCAGGGCATAGGTCGCACTTGAACATCTCAGGGCGCTCTTGGTAGGTCTCTTCATGGCGCTTCCAATCCGCCTTCTCGACAAAAGGTCTTTCGCAACTGGTGCAGAAGTACTTGTGCTTTTTGCTGCATATGCGGGATTGCTTGGTCGCTGAGACGCATGTCTTGAAGTAGTCTCTCTCTGGCGCAGCAGGTCTCTTGCTTTCCTTTGCCTTGACAGGCCGTGAACAGGGCTTTTCGAGCGCACTAACGACTTGCGAAGCCACTTGAGTAGGCGCATGACACAACAGATGCTCGGCCATCAGAAAATGTTGGTGTCTCGACATATTGGAGGTGTGCGAGTATCCTGATGCAGACGAAGACATCGAGTCTCTTAGTGGTGTGTGGGAAAAGGTGCTGTTATTTGACGACCGATAGCTGGAAGGTACTGATGAAAAACTTGAAGCTGAGAGGTGTTGCGATGAACCGGATCGTTGGCGCATAGCATTCGCAGTTGGCCATTGTCGGGAATTCTGTTCGAAGTTCTCTGTGATCATGATCAGTTTGAGTTTCTATAGAGGAAACGATTATGGTCTTACACACCGACAGGGCTTTGCTCGTAATCGATGGGACTGTTCAGCTGATTCTGCGAGTACCCATACATTGGATGTGTACCGTTCAACGTCTCATAACAAAAGTCTTCGAATGTATCGTAGTTGTAATGCGAACCAGCGCTGGAATGTTCGTAACCGCTCATGGTGCAACTGGTAAGAAACGTAAAAGAGAGTAAAGATACGGAGTGCGCGCAGCGCTGAAGATTGGAAGAAACTCGTCGTAATCAACACGCAATCGGTTTCCCCATGGTTGGACATTTAAACGCAGCCATGTTCTCAGCCTCAGGCATGGCTATCGGCGAAGAGGTTAGCGTGGTGGGGGAGGCGCGGTTCACCAGCTGAAACGCGGCGAACGCTGATGGCAGCCGTTTCATGGCCTGTCCGTGTTTCGAAACAACAGGCAACCAGAATAACGGAACGCCGTCATTGGATCCAGGTGACGCATCATGCCCATACGTGCAGATTTGTATCCCCGACGCTGTTGACCGGTTGCGATGAGGAAATACGATGCGAGGGCGAGTGGTTGATGGGGAAGGCTGAAACCGCGGTAGGCGAATAGGCGATGGTTTGCCAAGAACCAGGACGAAGGTAGCGAAAATGTCCGTCGGTATTAATAAGTCGTTGCCGCATACCATGCTGACGTGCATGTATTCGATTTTTTTCAGAGTTCATCCAGAAGCTGACATCGCCGTCGAAGTGAAGCTTACATGCGTTCGCCCAACGCTGGAAACCTCCACGCAGCATCTTGCCATCTTGACCGACGTTTAAGGATACTCCGGTATATGCCGACCCTGCCACACCAATAGGTGTGTTACTGCAGAGGGGTTCTCCGCAGAGTAAGCCCAAAAAGTCGTTCGATATTGCTGTTGTCACAGCCTAACAGTCGTTGCCCTTCATAAGGACCCCCTAACAGGTTCTTGACCACGGACGCCAGATGTTTGCCTCAATCAAGCGCTCGTTGAGTTCTTCGTCAGTCAAGTACGCCCTGTTAGGGGGCCCTATGAAGGGACTTTCAAGACCACGCCAAGGGTCGGTTGAGCGCACGCTCACTGGGGCGGAGGTCATTTGCGATGATTGGGAGCTTTCGCTCCCGGGAGAGGGAGGAGAATCAAACCTCGGCTCCTTCTTGAACCTCTTCCTGAGGCGGTCCTTGGGGGCTTTCCACAGGTTCTTCTTCACCCACTTCTTGGTTTTGGGCCAATCGAAGGCCATCGTGTAGTAGTGATGATACTATGATGGTGTGTAGAAAGAGATGTGATGTTAAATGGTGAGAGTTTGCCAATTGGCGTTGAAATACCCATCTTACCACTGGCTTCTCTCACCCTTTCCAACACAAGGTGACTGGAGATGCCATGTGGGCTTCAGACGTAGTGATTGGCAAACACACTGGTCTGAAGTGCCTCGTTGTCGTTGCTGCTTTGGTGATTTGGCGCTAGTGCGGCGAAGGGGGCAGAAGACAATGCTCCGACATACTACCACCACAATCTTGTACACAATGTTCACACAACCCACCCTGCTGATTCTCAAGACGATCTGCAGAAGCTGACAGAAGACTTCCAATCTCATGAGGTCAGCCAGGGGTATCATACTGCCACTCTCCACCGCCACTGAAGCTCGTGAGGGCCGTCGCAGCAACTCCATTCGGAGCGCTCTGCGTCGAGGCAAAGCATCAGCTACCTCCTGGGACTCACGAAACCCCTAGCTCCGCATGGTTTAAGCCCCATACTGTCTACTCTTGAAGGCCCCCGCGGAGAAGGGCTCAGGAAACGCTCCAGAGCTGCTTCCGCCGCCACGAAAGGCGACAGCTATGACCCATGGTAAGGCGCTCAGCGGCCTAGGAAGAAGTTCACCTCACGCAGATTGACCACTCGCAGACATGAGCTCGCTATTGACTCGCTCTGCGGCTCTGGAATTACCCCGCGGCGGAGAACCAGACGCCTACAATCATCGAAACCTCGTGTCGAATCCCCGAGTCGCGAACCCCGCAGTCCCGGCAATGATAACAAGTCCTCATGGGCTACGCGGCAAAGCTTTTTGTACGTACCGTCACGCCTGTAAAGCCTTCTAGCTTCACTAGACCGCGCCAACGATGGGGTTGCAGGGGCGCCTCGAGAAGCGGACAACCCCCGGAAAAAGAACAAAGGATGGACACGAACAAGGAGCGACGCTCCTGCCCTGACATTGACAACGAAGCACAACCTACTGCGAAGAACATGATATACCTCCGCCTCTTTGGCGCATGCAGCCACTTGCTCAGAGACCGAATCGCGCCCCGCGGTAGTGGCACTACAAACCGGATATTTTGATCGAATCATCCGCGCGGGCGACACGATTGCCACGAGTAAGATCATCCAGGCGCGGCTTGCTTGATGAAGGGCATGATGACGCGGCGATACAGAAAGACAACTCACCTATCGAGGGCGACGCACCGCAGTGCCAGACAGCTTCCAGAAACCGTTGCGAATCCTACGGCAGGTCGCGCTGCAAACATCAAGGCAAGGCTTCGAATAATGAAAAGGCTCTGCCACAGGCAATTTCCGAAACACCATGTACCCACACAAAGTCCCTGCAATGGCAGGCTGCGACGATGGACAGCAGCGTCCACAGGCAACGGCGCGGCCATAGGTCAGGAGCACAATACTACCGTCCAGCTCAACATGCAGACGTGGATGAAAATGCAAAGAATATGGACCGTCAGGAACTCGATGTCGTCGAATCCATGGTCGCCAGGCGAAGATGCGCCTGCTCAACGCAAACATGAAAGAAAGTAGGGAATGGGGTTCATATCTTGTCTTTCTTATAGACGTAACTTTTCTCAAAAGCTGGGAGGGACTTGCCGAAATGACCATGGTTGTCGATCCAGAAGTTGGGTATACATCTTCCGGTCATCTCAACTCTGGACAGACAACGGATGAGCAGACCTGCACTGAAGCTTTCAGATGGCAAGCTTCAACGCCTGAGAAGGCTGGGAACGGGAAGGAGCGCCTTGAGCCGCCTCGCTGCAATCGCAAGCTGGTCGTTCTGGGTTTGATCGCTAATCTGCCGAAACATGTTTGAGTTCCAGACATGCTGCAGCTTCATACCAACCAGCGCAGTCCGAAGAGCCGTTCGAGCGTTGTCTGGAAGGTCGGACCCCTCGAATTCCAAGCTCTTGATCACACCATGATGTACTTCCATCTGGAGGCCGATGTCGTCCTTGGGGTCGAGCATAAGATTAAAGCGTGGAGTCTGAGACCACATCCACTCGTCCGTCTTCAAAGGTTAGCGACGACAATGAGAAAAGGATG